TGCACTAGGTGCCTCAAACTCAATTTCTTTTCCTTTCACTCTCTGGTAAACTCTTGTAGTCTTGTTACCAATCTCTTCATCATTTGTGTCTTTGAATTGAGATTTGTTATTGTTGTTCCCCTTCCTCTTTTAAGACATTACAAGATTATTTTTGACTGATATATTTTAAGGCAGTCTATTCCCACATGTTCTGTTCCCTTCTTCCTAACCTCATCTGTATCCCAATCTCATTTGCAAACTCTTCCCTTGGTTTTAAAGTTTTGCTTGCCCTATTGATTGTTTTTTTTTTATTTATCTATTTCTTCTCTTTTAGTTAAGTGGCTAATTCAAATCCTCTCCCATACTGTTTTGGTTTGTTAGTTCCTTTTCTGCTTCTTTTTATAAAAATAATTTCCTTGTCTTCTCTTGCATTTGCCTTCTAACTCGTTTACCTGCCTCAAGTCTTTCCCCCTCCATTCCATATTCCATTTAATGGTCTGTGTTTTTTCCTGAAGTCAGCCTAGTGTTGACAGTGTCATTCTGTTATACAGTAAACTTTAATGGCTCCCCATTTCCTCCAGAATCAATTATAAAGTCCTTTGTCAGGAGTTTACATCTCTTCCCCAGCTTGACTCTTTGCCTACATTACCAACTCTAGTCTACCGCTGGACTTCATGCCTTTGCACTGGCCGTCCCCTATTCTTGGAATGCTTTTTCTCCCAACCTCTAATTCCTAGAAGAATCTATGTACTCCTTTTAGACTTAGCTTAAGCATTGCCTTCTCTAGGAGGCCTTCCCTGGTCCAGCTACTAGTACCATCCCCTCTAAGATTAATTTCCATATATTCTGTTTATCTTATGATCTGACTTTGTCTCTCCAATTAGAATATAAGCTGGTAGGCAGGGACTGTGCTTCTTCATAGTAAGCACTTAATAAATGTTTGTTATTTTCTGCTTCTTTCTATGCCCCTTATCTTTTTTTTTAACTTGCTTTCCAAAAAATAATACAGTTATATCCAGTTGTTTGATCTGTGTTGTGTTTATGCTATACTCTTTTGTTTCTGCTCTTATGGTAGTTTTACTAGAAGTCCCATAATGTGGACCTAACACACTGTGAGGGCTTGTTATTTTTGGTTCCTGCTTGACAGGCTTTTTTGTTTTCCATTGACTTCCCTTCTGGAAATTCTCTTTCCATAATTTCTACTCTTCTGTTCTCCTCTTTGGTCTCTGATTGTTCTGACTCTTCATCCTTAACTGCCCTCTAATAATGAATTTTCCAAGGCTAAGTTTGGAAACCTGTGGTCTTCTCTTTACTTACTTTTTCCTTTCAAAAGACTATGTACTCTTATGATTTTGCCTGTTATTTTTATAATGATGATGTCAGTCAGGTATATCTAGTCTATATCATTTCAATCTATTTGATGAGATGAGACTGACACATAATTGAAAACTAAATTGTGTCATAAAGGCTATAAATGCTTTTTAAATATTCAAAACATAGGGAAATGAGTGAGCACATAATTTCCCTCTTCATTCCCCCTTCATTCATTTGGGATGCTTTCCCTTTTTGTCTTAAGATTTCATTTTTAAAGATTTTGTATATTTCCTATGCTGACTTCTCTTCAATGTTTTTTTCATCATAGTATCCTACTCATCTTTCTTTTAAACCAGAGGTTCTTAATTTTTTTTGTGTGTATGATGGACTCTTTTTGCTGGTGAGGCCTAGGAGACCCCCTTTCAAAATAATGTTATCTATTTTTTGTAAGTTTGCAATGAAAGAAAATGCTATATTTCAGTTAGAAGTTAGTGAAAATAAAGATATAATTTGGGGGAGAGGGTTCATCCAAGTTCACAGACCCCTCCCCCTGGGGGGGTGTCTATGGAACCTGGATTAAAACCCTTTCATAACTCCATTTTCAAAATTACAGGTGCATGTCATACTATATACTTCAGCTTTCTTTTCTAACACAAACTCTAAATGGGGCTGGACATTGTCCCCCTAAGGTTCTTGTCATTGTCATTCCAGTATCAATTCCTCAATAGTCAGAATCAGATCTGGTTGAGAATTTTCCCTCATACTTTCCCTGCTTTTGAATGATTAAATTTTTATTAAGGCAAGTCAGGAAATCATTAGCTTCTCTGCTTCGGCAGAGAGAGGTCTAGAACGTGTCTTAATTAAAGTACCATATTCACCAGTCAATCAGTAAGCATTTGATAAGTGCCTATTATGTGCTGGACGTGGCCAAATGCTGGGGTTACAAAGAAAGGTAAAAGATAGTCCCTGTCCTCAAGGAGCTCTCAGTCTAATGGAGGATAAAACATGCAAGCAAGGTATAGACAGGATTAGTTAGAGAGAAATCAGCAGAGGGAAGGCATTAGAATTTAAGTAAGATCAGGAAAGGCTTCCAAATGTGGAAGTTGAGAATTTTGACCTGTTCTCAAACTTCTGTTTCATTATCTGTATCTTAAACTGTGGGTCACGATGGGTTCATGACCCATAGTTTAAGAAGCACTGAAGGGGTCTCCAGTGGAGAAAGTTTAAGAAGCCCTGAGCATGCTCTGATAATCAGTTTGTTTTATCTTAAGCAGTTATCCAGATACCCAGATCCCTTTCTTAGGTACTAACATAGGCAGCTATTTAGAATATTAGATTTTCTCTTTTGTATCCCTTGACTTAATGAGTAACAGGACCCTGCCATGTGTAAGGCCAACTCAGTATTGTTGTTGTTGAGTTGTTTCAGTTATGGCTGACTCTTTGTGACCACATTTTGTTTTTTGTTTTGTTTGTTTTGGCAAAGATGCTGGAGTGATTTGCCATTTCCTTCTCCAGCTCATTTTACAGATGAGGAATTGAGGCAAACAACGTCAAGTGACTTGTCCAGGGTCACACAGCTAGTATCTGAGGACAGATTTGAACTTGGGAAAATGAGTTTTCATGACTCCAGGCCCAGCTCTCTATCTGCTTCGCCACCTCGCTGCCCCTCAGTATTACTAAACATTATTTTTAAAAGGCATTCATCAAACTTTGAGGGAAATGAATGCCAACTAGCAGTGCTGATTTTTTTTTATTGCCTTCATTAGACTATCCTTTTAGAAAGCACTCCACTTTTCTTAAAAGTTGAGATGTTTTTTGACAGATTAAAAACAGATTGTGGTAAAAAAATTTTGTGAGCTGCTTTCCTCATCTATCATTAGTTTCCTTTTCTAGTAAGTATTTTCTCCTCTAACCTTTCAGAAGAAAAGTTTTAATAAATAGTAGTAGTAGATGATATTCTTATATTGGGAACAAAATTGGCATTTTTTCCTTTGCTGTTGGAACAGCTGGATGCTTTGGACTTTAGGCTTCTCATTTGTTTTTTCCTTGCTCTCTTCTGAGCACAGATGGCAGAACCTCAAGAGAGATGGTTGTGGGCAGGCACCCAGGATTGGGGTTCAGAGTGCTGTAAACCTGGATTGGAAAACTTGGCTTTGAGTCCTGCATCTGTCCTTTATTTGTCACATGATCTTTGCAAGTCATTGATTTTCTCAGAACCTCTGTTTTCAGTAAAATGGGAACAATAATAATTAAAATACCTATATCACAGTGTTGTAAAAATCAAATGAAAATATATATTCCCAGTGCTTTGTAATTGAAGTCTTTTATATCAATGCAGTCCATTGTTATTGTTGCAGCTGATTTATTTGCAAGGGTTTCTCTGCCAAAACCCAAATATGGAATTAGAGGGTTTTAGAACTGAAAGGGACCTCATAGATCATTTATTTAATTCAATCTTTTAAAGAAACGGAAGCCAATGAAGTTAAGTCATTTGCTAAAAGTCACTCAGTAAAATGTCAGAACAAGATTTTAACCCAGGTCATCACATTGTAAATCCTATGTTCTTTGCTATGAAAATTTAGGGATCCTCTTTCATACAATTAATTGTTTAGATATTTAAATTTGAAAATGGCAGTTTTCTTCTTCTCATGAAATTGCCTCAGCAGCCAGTTCACACCTTGATTCAGATGCAAATTACTTTAACAAGCATTCCTCAGCACTAATTTTGAGGAGTGGGAAGGAGACACTTTATATCAACCATAAGAAAACATTTTTCAAGAGGAGATTTAAATAGAAAACTTGATAGCCAAAGAAAGTGGTTTTATGATAGCCTTAATAGAGTTAGGTGGGGAAAATGTTTAGCTTGTTTTATGCAGCTGTAGGCTACTGTTTCTTTTACCAAAACATTTTTGGTACTTTTTCTTTGTCACCAAATAAACATTTATTAAACAATTGATCAACTGTGTCAAAGCCTGCAGAAAGGTTAAAAAAGATGAAGATTGAGATTTGGCAAGTAAGAGATCATTGGTAATGTTGGAGAAAGCAGTTTTGCTTGAATAATGCAATTAGAAACCAAAATGTATAGTTAGGAAGGGAGTGAGAAAGGAAAGGAAGGGAAGGTGCTTATTATAGGTGGCTTTCTCAAGTAATTGAGGCATAAAAGAAAGGAAAGAGAGAGAGATATAGGATGATAGATAGCTAGTGAAGGATGGACAGATCAAATGAGGGTTTTTTGAGGATGGGAGAGACATGAGCATGTTGTAGGCAGTAGGGAAGCAACCAGAAGGGAGAAAGTGAAGATAAGCAGAGGCCATAGAAGGAGCAGTATGCTGACAGCACAGAATGTGATTACTTGTACACATATATTAAAATTATGTATTTGTGTTGAATAAAGAAGATTAGCAAGCCAATTAGGGCATTTCTTAATATTAAAAAAATAGCTTTGCCTACGTTTTTCTTGAAGTACTGTGCAGGCATCAGAAAAATTTTATGGAAATCTTGGGAAATGGGAAAAGGCCTTTTTACATATAATGCCAATATCTATACAGCTATGAAAACTGACCTCCTTTGCGAATCTGTTATATAAATAATGATTGTAGATTGTTGGATTAAAAGATTGTAAGTAGTTTTAGATTTATTAAATAAGTTGTGAAAGTATCTTTGGAATGGAATCTAATCTTTACTTCTTTCTCCCCCCCCCCCCCCAGTGGAACATCTCCCCTTGCATGTCTGAATGCGATGCTGCACACCAACTCCAGAGGGGAAGAAGGAATTTTCTACAAGGTTCCAGGTAGAATGGGAGTATATACCCTAAAGGTAAATGTCTGTTGGAGAAACATTTTCTAGAAGTTTTTGCAATATTGAGGAACTGAACTTGAACTTTAAACGTTGAAAACTTATCTCTAGAGTTCCTAAGCAAGGTAACAGGAGTTCAGGTGCTCTTATCAGATGGACAGACAGATGTCAGCCTGTAAGAGCTTCATTGAGAGGTGGAACACATTGCTAGTTTTAGCCTTCCTTATCAATATGGTTTCCCTAAGACTAAATGAGGGTAATTGGTGCCAGTAAGTTGGTTACAAAATTGCCCAGTAATATGAAGTTGAATTGTTTAAAAAACAAAACAAAACAATGTTTTGCACTAAACTGCTACTAGTAAATAAAAGTTTAGTTTTTATTTGAAAACTGTATCAGAATATCAACTATATCAGATATCAACATAACTATATTAGATATCAACATAAGTTTGGGGAAGATCCCATTTTATTTTGAGTATTTTGGGGGGAGGGGCTAGGCAGTGGGGTTAAGTGACTTGCCTGGGGTCACACAGCTAGTAAGGATCCCATTTTGTTTTGAATAGACTCTAATATCTCAAGGCAAAATAGCAAATTAAATAAACTATTAGAATATATGCATATGTAAGTCTTAATATAATTAGTTTACATATTTTTCCTGAATATGTTGCTCTAGCAGGTAATTGAAAACAATGACTACTGTGTTACTTTTGAATTTTTTTTAACAGACATATATAAAATTGTGTGGATTACATGACTAGTTTTTTTCTGTCTGTTTGTCCTTCCCTTCCAGCCATCCAGAGTCCTCTTGCTGTTGACTCACTGAATAGATTTGTGGCAGCCTAGGGGAAGCCTCCTGTGTCACTTTACCCTTACTAACAAAGACTGTAAGCTCTTTGAGTGCAAGGACCTTGTTAATCTGCAAGCATCTATTGCTGCTGTGTGCCATACATTTTACTAGTAACTAGGGGTACAAGTAAGAAAGTAAGACTATCTCTGACTTCAAGGAGTTTACATTCTATTGGAATTCTGCTTGTTATTTCAACTTAGTATTTTTACCAAAGAGTTAGCATAGGTGTTTTGCACATATTAAGCTCTTAATGAATTTTTGTTGAATACCAAAAGTGGCTTGTCCTATGCAGCTCCCTGTACTGTAGACCATATTGTAGACTATAGGCATTAAATGGTGATTTATGGTTATATCTCTTACAGTCTCATTTTACCTATCCCACCCTCCCAAGGAATTCAACTCTAGACATTACCTAGTCTTCAAATTTTACCATTGGCAATTTTTTAAAAAGCACATTGGTGATCACAAAAGTAGAAAAATGAAATAAGGAAAAGTTTGAAGACTCTTACACCAGAGCCTTTCTGGTCTCCTCCCTTTCCTCTTTCCCCTTCGGGACTTACCTGGCTTGATTTTCATGTCTTCGCAGCATTGTACTTTCCCTGGTCTCACAAAATAATTAGTGATTATTATGATAATACAACGTTTTACCTTAATGTTTTGCCTTAACTCAAGTAATTAATTTAAAAATAAGAAAGTGCTTCTCATCAGGAGTTTCCTATCCTGATGAAATTAGTCTCCTCCTTCCCCCCTCCCCAGAAGGGAAAAACAAATTAATTTTTTTTTTCAAATCAAATAATTTTTAGGGCTTTAAAAAAAATTAACTTGGCTCTCTTTAACCCAGAATGAAGTTTTTCTCTAAAGATCAAAGAACCATTGTCATTTATCTGATTAGCTCTTGTGTTGCTCTCAACACTTCTCACCTGTTTCCAGTGGCAGTGGAGGGAAAAGATTAAAACCTAGTGGTAGCCTACAAAACAGATATTAGCCAACTTTGCCTTTCTCTTTTCTTTATTCTTGAAAAGATCATGCAAATCAATACTTTTTCCATGAGATGTTAATGTAGTTTTTATCCAGGCCCAGTACTCTTGTCATTTATCTCTCAGATATTTACCTACTTTCTAACAGTCACTTTGGTTAGAGCAGTCGGTAACCCTTAATATGTGATCTTCCCTTAACTGAAATCCTGGAGATCAAAGCTGTCCTCAGGACAGAATCATTCTCAAGTTGGTTTCTTACCTCTGTAGAATTGTGTAGCATCCATTTTTCTTCTGTACCAGAAGTCAACAGATTTTAACAGCTGAGAATTCATGAGTAAAGCACATTGTTTTATTTTGATGGGGAAAAACCTTAATTAACTGAAATTGTATGCCATAATCTGAATCTTCTTTTGCCATGTATGGTTCATAGCTTTCTATTTTATGACAGTTACTCAGATTGTAGGCTGAATGTCCAGTAAGAAATAGTATCTGAAAGGCACAGAGTTATAAATTGATGGCAAGGGTCACATCTCTGTGTGTGGTTCTTTATTTAGGACATGGTTGAACTTTTTCTTTTGATCAAAATTGAAGACAAAAATAATTTATTTCAATTTTTAAGGTTAGCATTACTAAAAGGGGTTAGTTATTCTTAGAAGAATGTGTGGAGGGGCTGAGTCATAAGTTTTTGAAGGATGAAAGGGATATAGGCATAGATTTGTGAAGATTATATCAAGTTAATGTTATGATAGATGGCTACAAGGTCTTAGAGATTAGAGTAAGATAATCAGGAATATAGATTTTCCTTATTAAAGCAGTGGGGATCATTTTGTACATAGGAAGTGACCTTAATAAGTAGCCACTTAAAATATTTTTTTCCCCTGGGTCACAGCTACCGAGAAATAGAATGCCATCACAGCTCTGGCAGTATCCTGTTTAAATGCCTTAGAGCTTTTTATAACATAAAACTGGTGACAAACTGTCTGTTGTCTGAGGACCAGCTAGCTAAATTTGCAAAAGGCTTATCCCCAGTTTGTCATTAGAATGATGGATTTTACCTCACAAACCATATACGAAGTTGTTAAGAAGCTTTGGACTCTGTGGGTGGAGGGGGTGGGTGTTGTCATTCAAGGGGCAGCAAGTGCCCAGACCTGTGAAATCAAGGAGCCTTTTGAAGTATTTGAAGTAAGGCTTATGATCCTGAAGTTCTTTGTATCTAATAAGAATGTTACTTTTTAACTTAAACCCATTTTTTCTTACTAGGGTATATTGTTTTTCTGTATCTTCACGATTTTGTAGTTGTATGTATAAGAATGCGAAAGATTAGCCTTGATTGAAACATTATGCTTTGGAAGTTGTATTATTAGCAATCAGAAAATGCAATTTTGTACCTCATGTTGTGATTGAGAATTTAGGGGCAGCTAGGTGTCTCAGTGAGTAGAGCTCCAGCCTTGGAGTCAGGAGGACCTGAGTTCAAATCCAGTCTCAGACATTTGACACTTACTAGCTGTGTGGCCCTGGGCAAGTCACTTAACCCCGATTGCCTAAACAAACAAACAAAAAAAGAATGAGAACTTAAACCAGTGTTCTAAATTAGCATAAGTTCCTAATTGCTCCCTATCTTATAAGAGTACCAATAATTTCATTGGTTTAGAGAGCTTTCTTAGGAGAGAAAACTACAACTATCAGTGTGAGTCAACACTTTCTCTGCAGTTTAGGGTCTTCTGGGAGTTGGATGGCAATAAGAGGTGAAGTGTCTTGCCTGGGCTAGTGTAGCAAAGGTAGGTGGGACTTCAATCCAGATCCTCCTAGCTTGGCGTCACATGACCTTCTGATAGAATCATACCTCTCTTATGTGGTAAATAACATGTTTAGTAGTCATTAACCCTAATTGACTTTTCATTTTCAGAAAGATGTTCCAGATGGTGTGAAAGAGTTATCAGAAGGTTCTGAAGAGAGCAGTGATGGCCAGTCAGACTCCCCAAGTTCTGAGAACAGCAGTAGCAGCAGTGACGGTGGGAGCAACAAGGAGGGCAGGAAGAGCAGGTGGAAGAGGAAAGGTAAAGCCATCCAGGTTCAGCTAAGCCCTGAAGGGCCTGGAGCAAAACTCTTGAGAAACGGTGTCTTTTAACCCTGCCTCCAAAACCCTCCAGTGTTCAGTTGTCATTGAACAACATGAAGCCAAACCATTTTCATTTTTTGGACTTCTGATTTATCAGTTCTTGGCAAATTATTCTCTGCTCCTTATGTTTCCTGACTCGTTAATAGTGTATAGCATAATCTATCTCATTTCTACTTTTCTTCTGAACTTTTTCATTTTTTGGACTTCTGATTTATCAGTTCTTGGCAAATTATTCTCTGCTCCTTATGTTTCCTGACTCGTTAATAGTGTATAGCATAATCTATCTCATTTCTACTTTTCTTCTGAACTTTGTTACCTGCCTTGGGGCTGAGCCAGAAGACTTTTTACATTGTCACCTCTTGGTGCTTTTAATTTAGCTTTTCTGTGATATTCTTTCATTAATTTAGAGTTGAATTTCCATTTTGCAAGGTGCCCCATCTCTTCCTCTGTAGCTGCTTGGTAAACATTTCTTAAAAGGGCCAGACCTTGTTTTTTTTTCCCCTGAACATTTTAGATACCTGCCTGAATATGGTTGAACAATTGCTAAACTGTTAATAGTGTTTCTTCACAAGGGCTAGCACAGAGTTTTCATACAGAGAGTACACTTTCCAGATCTCTCCTGACTTAGACCTGTGTCTTCAGATTTAAGTGAAAGTCTGACTTTGGATATGAGAGGCAAAAATACTGAGTGTCAGGTCAACAACACTGACTTTAAATTGATTACTCTTATACCACCTTATGCTGCCTTTTAAATTTGGAGTTCTGTAGAAATACTGATCTCAGTACTTCAGAAGTGAGGTGTTATGAAAAAGAGCGCTAGGCTTGTAGTCAGAATGCCTAAACTCAAAATCTAAGTCTTTTACTTTCTAGCCTCTCTGAGTCTGTTTTCTCACTTAAAAAAAAAAAAGGTACTACCTGCCTCTCTGTTTTGAGGGTCAAATGAGATAATGTACACAATAGCTGTTTATATTTGTTTAGTGATTTATGCTTTACATTTATGCACTACATATATGTAAGCTATTGTTGTTAGGACTTTGAGATTTATACGTTATAGTCAGTTATCAGTGTTAAAGTTGGATCCAGGTTTTCACTTTGAACGATTTCCTGTTCTGATCATTGATTCAGTTGAGGACAAAGGTTGCAAAACAACTTATAACTAAGCAGAACAGCAGTCAAGAACTTGAAAAAATAAATTGCTGGAGATTTGCTGTTATTGACATTCTTAGTTATGCCCTCCTTATTTATTTAGCACTCTTCCTTTGATTCAGTAATGCTATTCTTTCTATTCCTCTTTCTCTGCTCCTTCTCAATTTCTCCTGGCTGCTTATCTTTTTGCATTCTCTGAGATAATGACCCTAGTCCTTTTATCTTTTCCCTATACCTTCTCCCTTCCTATTCTCAATTTCTTACTTTTCATTATCATCTTTATGTAAATGATTCCCAGATCTGACCAATCCCAGGAGAAAGAGGCACTGGGGAGTCTGAAAGGCCTCATTTCAAATTCAGCAACCATCTGACCTTGGACAAGGCACTTAATCACTTAATGAGGATCATAATGCCATCTACCTCACAAGGGTTGGTATGGAGCTCAAGCGAGATAATGTACACAAAGTAACTTGCAAACCTTAAAGCATTAGATTCCTGTCTGAAGATTCTGAAGATAGATCTTCTGCCTGAATGCCTTGCTGCTACCTCACCTCTAACTTGTTGAAAATTAAACTCCTTATTTTCTGTCTCAAACCTGCCCTACTGTTTAACTTCCATGTTTTTCTATTGGTAACACTGATTTTTTTGATTTCACACCAAAAACTAAATAAGATCATGATCTCTTCCTTTTTGAATCTCTCAGGGGGCGCTGGCCTCTCCTATATGTATTTTTCTTATTCCCCAATAAGATTGGGAGCTACTGTATCTTATTTCATCTTTGTATCAGCATTTAACTCTAAATGCACACAGTAATTTAATAAATGTTTGCATTGAAATAGAAGTCTGAATTCATATTTGAATTAGGACTATCTCTGCTTCTTTATAACTAATAAATACTTGACTGAATTTCTAGAACATTAAGACACATCTGTATTCAGATGTAAACATAAAAATGTATTCTAAAGTTGGATACAAGTGGTTTTAAAATTATCCGTGATTTGGCACTATGTAGACCAGTGCTTCCCTGTTAATGTAGATAATTAAAGGTTGGCAACAGTTTCCTCCAAAGCCAGGATTTTAAACTTTTTTGTGTTATAGACTCCTTTGGCAGTCTGAAGCCTATAGACCCTTTCTCTGGATATTTTAGAATGCATAATTGCAAAGGTTATAAAAAATGTGTAAGTTTTTTTTTTTTGCATCTAAATAACAGGATAAAGTGCTTTCTGTAGGGAAGCAAGTAGAGTATGGTGGGCTTACTTGGCAGATGAGGATTTAAAAAGTAAATATGATTTGTACCCTACAGTGAAAAAACCCACAAATTTAGTTGGAGAAAAGACAACTTCTTTGTCTTGCCTTAAAACTCCTATCAGAAGCCTTGCATATAAAGTATTTCAAGATAATTTGAGGAAGTGGAGAGTACTAATGAAGAATTTAGAAAGGTTTTCCGTATGAGGCCCCCAAAGTTGAATCTTAAAGGAAGATAAGTATTTTAAGAGACCAAACTGAGGAGGGGAGTGCATTCCAAGTAAAGGGAAGGCACCTAAGTAGGAACATTCTAGGAACATCAAGCTAGTGTGTAAAGAGGGATTACGTGTATGACATAAGCCTTGAGAGGTCACCTTGAGCCAGATTGAGCAATGTTTTAAATGCCAAGCTGAGGAGTTGGTATTTTGTCATAGAGACCAAATAGTATGAAAAATACTCACTTTGTACTGACAGACTTTTTAAAAGCATATAATTTTGGTCACTGGAGTATTGCAAGTTGTTCCTTAAAGGGTATGCATGTTATTGAAATTTTTAAATTTATTGATACCTTTTTTTAATATTCACATCCATATTCCAGTGTAACTTTCTCTAGAGCAAACTCTTACAACAAATAATTAAAAAAAGAAAAACTGAGCAAAACTAGCCAACATTTCAAGAGTCTGATATATTAAGTGTTCCACATTTATATTCCTCCCAACTTCTGCAAAGAAGACAAAGGTTCCTTCTCAATTTTTTTCTTTGGGGCCAATTGGGAAATAGCTAAATAAATTGCGGCACATAAATATAATAGAATATTACAGCTCTACGAGGAGAGATGAATGTGATGAATACAGAAATGCGTGATAAGACATGAAATGATGCAAAGTGAAGTAAGCAGAGCCAGGAAAACAATTTACACAATTATTACAGCAAGCTAATCAGTGAATCATGATTTGTATCAGTTAAATCAGTAAACATGTATTAAGTGTCTACTGTGTGCCAGACACTGCTAAGCATTGAGGATACAAAATAAACAAAAGACAGTCCTTGCCCTCAAAGAGCTTGTAATTTAATGGGGAAATGACTTGTAAGGAAATGTATACAAAGCAAGCTATAGACAGGATAAATAGGAAATAATTAACAGAGAAAAAAGCACTAGAATTAAGAAGGATTGAGAAAGGCTTCCTGTAGAAGTTGGGACTTAAAGGAAGCTAGGGATGTCAGTAGGAGGAGGAAAGGCATTCTGGGTGTGGGGGACTGCCAGAGAAAATGTCCAGAGCTGAAAGATGGAGTGTCTCATCAGGGAATAAGATATAAGAAGATGGAAAGGTAGGAAGGGGCTAAGTTTTGAAGGACTTTGAATGCCTAACAACATTTTGTATTTGCACCTGGACTCAATAAGAAACCACTGGAATTTATTGGGGGGGAGGGGAAGGGAGGGTGACATCAAATCTGCATTTAGGAAAATCACTTTCATGGCTAAATAGAAGATTGACTGGAGTGGGGAGAGACTAGAAGCAGGTAGACCCACCCACCAGCAGACTATTGCAGTAATCTAAGCATGAGATGATAAAGGCCTGCAATAGTGGCAGGGTGGGTTGGCATATTTGAGAGATGTTGTAAAGGTGAAATTGGCAGGCTTTGGAAACAACTTGGAGATGGGAGATTGAGAGTTTGTAAGGAGTCCAGGATGACTCCTAGGTTGTGAGCCCAAGGGACTAGTGGGATGGTGTTGCCCTTATAGTAATAGGGAAAATAGGTGGTGGGAGTGGAAGGTTTTAGAGGGAAGGATAATGATTTTAGTTTTGGGTAGATTGAGTTTAAGATGATGTCTGCTGGTCTCATTCAGTTCTAAATGTCTGAAAAAAACTTGGGGATACAAGATTGGAGGTCAGCTGAGAGATTGGGGCAGGAAAGGTAGATTTGAGAATCATCAGCATGGAGATGGTAATTAAATCCATGGGATCTGATGAGGACACCAAGTGAGGTAGTATGGAGGGAGAAGAGAAGAGGGCTCAGGACAGAATTCTGTGGGACACCTGCAGTTAAAGGATGTGATCTGGAAGAGGATCCAGCAGTGGAGACTGAGGAGTAGTCACATAGGGAGGAGAACCAGGAGAGAGTAGTGTCCTGAAAATCTAGAGAGAAAATTTCAGAGAGTAGAGAGTTTTCAGTGTATCAAAGAATGCAGAGAGGTCAAGGAAAATGAAGATTGTGAAAAGGCCATTGGATTTGGCAACTAAGAGATCATTGTTAACCTTGGAGAGGGCTGTTTGAAACTATGAAATTAAAAGGACCAAGGCTGTCCCCAAAGAAGAGAGTTGAGAAGGCAGCTTCCCCTTCTTTGCAGAGGTTGGGAAGAATATGGGTGTGGAACACTTAATATTACTGACTTGTTTTCCAGCTAAGCTATGTATGCTGTTTTATTAAGTGAATTTTTTTTTAGCATAAAACTTAAATGAGTATAGATAATATAGTAAATCTGTACCTGTTTTGTAGTGCCTAAGTTAAGCCTAACTTTTTGGCCTTATGTATCCTGGTCAGTCA